GGCCGAGAGTGAACCCGTAACGCCGACTCACGCGGCGGTTGCTGCGGTCCTGAGTGGGCGCGATACCAGACTCCCCCATTTGGGAGAATGGGAATTGCTTTCGGCAGCGAAGAGCTACTGAAGGCTCAGCAGAGTGATCCGTTTCGAGTCTCGGAGGGACGGAGCGCCGTATACGCTGCTTGCTTTGCGGCGGGCGCCGTTAAACCGTCTTGACGAGGCGCGGAGCGCCGTTACGCTGCTTGTTCTGCGGCGGGCGCGATTAGGGGGCTGAAACAGCGTGTGTCGCTGAGTCCCCGGCGGATTCATTTTGCTGGACCATGACGGGCTCCTGCTGAAATATATAGCCACTGACGACGAGTCCATAGACCCGTTTAAGGTGGTTATGCCCAAAAGTCTGAGAGCCGCACTGTTGCGATCCTCTCACGACGAACCCATGGCCGGTCACCTGAGTGGCTCGAAAGTTTTTGCAAACTGAGCAATGTTGTGACCTGGCCCGGCACGAAGCGTGGCTTTTATCGCTATTCCGTGCCTGCCACGTCTGACAAACGGTTGAGCCAAGGGTTGGAAAGCCGCCCGGTATTATGAACCGATTGTCAGTGAGCGTCCGTGGCGCGTACTAGCTGAAAGATCCCCTTTGGGAAAACTCAGCCGTGCCCACATCGCAGACCTGAAGCCCTTTGTCACGGTCTGACGAGCTCGCGCCAGTGCCCTGCGGCACTTCGCGCAAGCAACGGGCACACCCGGAGCGACGGACCGCATTCGGACCCCGCGCCGGTATAATCTGAGGAAGCGGTCACTTTTGTGATTTCGCGCCGGACGGCGGACACCTCCGCAACCGAAGGCCCTCAGATTACTGTCTAGCCTCAGTATAGGTTAGCTTCTTTACGGCCTTTTTCTCGTAAAGGAGTTGACCCCGCCCTGTCTGCTGCCAGTGTTTTTTTTTTTTTTGAAGTGTTCATGTGTATTTTATGTTTATTTTTGTCTAATATGAAGTGTTATTTGTGCTTTATGTTTTTGCCAGATGTTGAGTGTCGTTTTGCTGTTTTTTTTACTTTTTTTTCGTGTTCGTTTCGTCTACCGCGAAGGGAGCTGTGTGTGACCTTGAGTGTCGGTGCTTGCCGGGAGAGAGAGAGACATAGGACGCTTTGCGCCTACGCTCGCGCAGCGTCGGTGGTGTGTGTGCGTGCGTGTGTAAGTGCGTGACGCTTCAGTGCGAGCCCGCGAAGAGTGCGTCATGGCTGCCCTCCATCGACGCGGACACTGGAGGTGCTGGGGGGTCATTGACCCACTGACGTCAGACCATCTGGCTGTGCTCTGCTCTTGGCCGTCGCCGAAGAAGCCGTGCTGCCTTTTCCACCATGGCTCCTGCGCGAGGCCAGCTGAAAGCAGCTATATGCTGCCGGCCAACGCCAGGGCGCCTCGCAGCCAATTTTGGTTCGGCCTCCCTGACCACCGGAGAGGCCCGGCTTCCCGCAACGTCCAGCTTCGTCATCGAGCCGGAAATGCGGGGCCTCCGAACAACCGAAGCGGCTTTCGTCGGACTCGCGGCTTATCAAGAGCAGCAACAAGCCATCAGTGAGCCCCCTCCCGTACCTCTGACCTCGCACTCGGGCATCGCACCCAGCGGACCCTGTCACGCCCTTTCCGCCCCTCCGCGCAGTGGACGCTATCCCCATCAGCACCACGAACACTAGTGCCACGTTTCTGTGCTCCCTTCTGCAGTATTTGTATAGTGTCGTGTGTTTATTTTGTTATTTATGTTTTTGTTCCTCATTTGTAATTTTTTTTTTTTAGCAGCAGGGCTGGACTGAGGTTAGCTGTCGCTCATAGCAGTGTCATTTTAACTGCATGGGTGACGTCCGGCTGCCTTTTGCAGACCGGTAAAGGGCAAATTTAGGAGAGGGGGATGTGGGAATTGAGGCTGGCCCGCTGCCTTTGCGCGGGCTTTGCCGCCTCTTTTCTCATGTCCCGACATGCCTACCCTCCTTTGCCGTCAGCCGCGCTGGGAAGGGCGGAGTGACGTTTAACTCCCTCACCCGGCAGCGGATGTCGACTGTGGCGCCGCGCGCGGGGACCCCCGAGAGGTTTTCGCGCGCTGCGTCGGGAGCGGAGAGTACAGTCCGGGACTTCAAACGGTGAGCCACGCATTCTTTTCCGTCCGTCGAGTCCCGTCGCCCGGGGCTCATCGGACTTCGCTGACGGCGCCTCGCGCCCGATGCGAACGCTCACCTTTTGTTGCCCCGCTGCGTACTCACGGCCGAAGGGCAGTACGGTGTCCTAGTGCGTGGCCTAGCTACGCCGACCCGTCTCCCTTCGAAGCCAACGCGAGCGCCTTTGCCCTCGCTCGAGCAACCGGGCCCCTTTGTCCCGGTGTCTCCGTGGATTACCTTTACCGCGGAGACGTGCTCGTGGCACCCCTGTGTAGTACTTTGTGCCCGTGGCGTGGATAAGCCTACTTGCTTTCCCGCCGCGCCTTTTTGCAACGGGCTGTACTGCGTTGGTGTTGCCACAATAAAGTGTTGCGACTTGAGCAGTATCGTGTTTCCCGCCACGGCGACGGTTAAAGCGTGCCCTGCGGCTCGCTAAGACCGGACCCACGCTGGTGGCCGTACTCCTTCGGGATACGTGTACACCACACCTTTCATTGAAGTTCCTTGTTTTTCCATTGTATAAAACGTGGCAGTAAGTGCACAAGCTCCGGCCCTGAGATATTTTCGCCGGTGCACGACCTATGTGTGGAGGGGTGAAGCTGCCGATGATTTGTGGGTGATGTTGACCCCTGTCTTATTCAGTATACGGGTTACAGTTTCGCTGGTGGCGGCGACGTAGGGGATTGACACACGGTGTTGTTGCGCAGGCGCAGGTACCAAGTTTTGTCCGCTTTTACTTTTGCGGAGGGCTCTGTGAAGAATCCGCACTGGCTTCGAAATGTCGCGTTTTTCTGATATAGTTTTGGTCGGAGTTTTCTGATTTCTCCCGCATAGAAGCAGCACGCTGTAAGAATGGGCGTTTTGTGCGTAAACAACCTACCATAATGTCCCTGGATTTTTTCCTCTTACCTAAGTACTGCAACTGCCTCCTTTCTCAGCCATCTCTCACGGGCAGCCAGCGTCTGCTGTCATTTCCTTCTTCAAAGATTCTCAAAGCCACGCATGTGTAAGTACATTAGCCACGAATATTTCAGCGGAACGACATACCTTTCTCTTGCAGTCATTGCCCAGTCGTTAATGAGTGGGGGATTCGTTTCACCAGGTGCTGGCAAAGTGGTAGGAACAACATGGCAGCCGAAATCAATTAAATTCGTCAACAGGGCTTCAGTGGTTGTCGCAAAAAATGTAGCAGAAAAAATGAAGGTAGGAAGAGGAAAAATCGGGGCGCTTTATCAGAGGAAAATCTAGGGGCTGCCTATGGCTAGTTATCTCTTCGTTCACTTTCTTCCTTCTCATTACAGTTACTTCGAATAGCATCCCCTGCACTCTTTCTGACATTATTGTCTGTTAGTTTTCATTATTATCACCCGTATTGTGATTTTTGCTTTGTGATTTCCTCAGTTAATAGTGAGCTCGATGCTGCACGCCCGATTTCAAACAAAAATATGCTGTTTGCTCGTAATTTATTGTGGCGCTGCGGTTTTCCCGGAGTCTACGGTAAAGGCCAGCGGAGCAGTGCTCATTTTGCCGCATACAGACAGAGGAGGCCCACCTGCTCTCAGTGTCCGAGGTAAACTGATGAGAAAGGAGCACGCGTTTTTAGATGGGACCAGGCGTCTTGCGTTTAGCCGCACCAACGAGAGCTGCAAAAACCGCACACATCTTCTTGTAAAGGTAACCCTGAGTAGTATGCGAAGCAGCCATGGGTCGACCTAAAGTTCTTTAAAAAGGGGATCATTAAAGTAGGCTTCATGGTCACCGCCACTTTGCGAGATTTCGCCGCCACTGCACTCAAGCTCATGCCTTCAATCATACTACTACGCTGTGAGTGTGAGAGGAATATATGTTTCTGTCATACAAAGCATCACATTTCTCATACCACAGCACACGCAAAAGTTGAGCGACTGCTCTAACGCCCAGCCGTCAAGTGGGTGCTCCGAGTACCAGCGTGGTTACGACGACGAACAATCCTCGACTGCAAGCTGCTTGAAAGAAAGTGCTCAAAGGGATGACGCGCGTCCGTGCTTACCCTGGGCGTGTATTTTAATGCGCTGCTGGTGAAAAGAAATCCTTGCCACTCAATTCGTACTTGTGGTTTTTTAAAATCTTTTGTGGCAGTTGATTCGCGAGACAAACAACTCCGTCATTCAAGCCAATCGACGATTATTTGCAAACAAAAATGTTACAGGGCTCCTTCCACCTGAATCAATACGCGCTGCGTTAGTCATGAAAATATGTCGGAATGCAAATAACCGAAATTGTCAACGTAGTGCTAGGGATAGCATATTTGAATGCGAAAATTCTAAGTGGATCAATTTAGCCACTCCTGGTTTAGCAAACTTCGACGGATACTTATGATAAGTAGGAATATCAGGATGGTCGCCCCTGACTGGACAAGCTCACTTGATGAACCAAGCACAATCTTGCAACTTCTAGTGTTTTCTTTGAAACACACTTTTGCGCTGTGAACTCTTCATTACAAATGCAAGAATTCGGTGAGCCAGGCATCCGAAACGTCTTATGCAGTAAAGAACTGCTTTGAAGTGAAGTCACTTGAAGCAATGGAAATTATACCGTCTCAAACAATCATACACCCACGGTAAGGGGCAGCTATGTTGTAAATGTCATGTGAGATGGCTCAGATGAATGGTCCACTTAATCTATAGCCATGTCATAATAATCAAGAAAAGATTTTGCCTCGAGTTACAAACACAGACACTGAACCACAGTAAACAGGACAGGTCTCCATCGCAACAAACAAGCTCAAGTGATGCAAATTACAATGTATTTGTGTCCATAGTGTTAATTAGGACTGCAGTGTGCCTAACGTTGTGTCCTTTTCTCTCGCAGTTCGTTGCGCACCCGAACGTGCAGCAACAGATGAGCACCCTATGGTACGATGGTCTGCCTGGATTCCGGAGAAAGAGCATATTCGGCCAGTGCCTGCAGATTGTCAAGATCGGCGTGGCCTTTCCCTTTTACTCAGCCATGTACATCTTCTTCCCACGCAGCCGCATAGGCAGGGTCATGAAGAAGCCGTTCGTGAAGTTCATCTCAAACGCCTTCTCGTACCTCCTTTTCCTGCGTGAGTGAGGAAGCTTCTTTGTCGGTCAATATTTCTGCGTTTCTTTACAGCACATGGCTCGCAAGCTTTGCAAACACGCTAACCTGATGGGTTTGTTTGATTAACACGCGTAAATGTGGGCAGCAGTTCAGCTTGAAAGGGAAAAAAGGACAGCGCGGTGAAGGACAAGGCCCTGTGTTCGCCGGTCATTAAACTTTCGAGTCACGCAACAACATGGTACGTGTTGGTCTTCGGGGAGGTGGGAGGGGGCGTTGTGGCGCGGTGCATGAAGGAGAGCGGGAGGTGCTTCAGCGCTGGCGAAGCTAGAGGGACGGGGGGCGGGAGCGAATGCACTCCCTTGCACATGAGTACCATCCAGCCTACGTTTCTCCGCTTGTCGACTTTTATCATTTGGGCAAACAGCGACGGGACGGCGAAAGAACGAGACGTGATTTTGCATGCGTTTGGCCAATAGACTACAATCACAGTCTGTATGTAGCATTTGTAAGCAATCATGTGTGGCTCTCGTAGAACACTTGCTTGCCACGCAGAACGCCTGCATTCAGTTCTCCCTCAAAAGGAAAATTTTAGGGTGAAGCACCTTAAGAGGCTTGTCCACAGTACATGGTATGACGATGGCGCTAATGAAGAATAAGCACGTTAGCACATGCTAGGTACCCTATAGAACACTATATCTGTGCCTTGAATGAACACAAACGGTGGTGGCAAAACGACAAAAACACCAAGCGGACTCGGAGTTGAGGGCGCGGAAATGGCGGCAAAACGAGAAAAACGCTATACCTCTTCGTACTTTTCGGAGACTTCAACGTGGACACCACGGACAACGATTGGCCAGTCCAGTATTTGACGTCTTCATACACTCTACGGCGCATTCCGCTTAACTAGGAACAAGCAACAACCACCAGGAGACCGTGCGTACACCTCATCTTTATCAACTTCAGTCTAGGTACGTCCGATATAGAAGAACCATTGGCTCTGCATCATGTATTTAGAGCATACAGAAGCACTGTATCCGATGCCTTAACATACTTCTCTATATTCTCCAATCCCACGTGCTCATCCTCATATTTTTTCCTGTATACATCATTTCCCCGGCGGATAAAAAAATATCACTTGCGTAGCACGTAGTCCCTGATCTTCGATTGAGTTTTTTTTTTTTCCCTCGTCGGCTCTTCCGTGATGGCTGGCTGCACATTTTGTTCTACAGTGAAGATGGTTCCGACTGCAGTAGGAAGGCTCTGGCTGCTGTGAAGATGGTTCGTTGGTTTGGGCTGCTGTCCCTTCCCTGACGTAGGTGGACAGCCGTCGTGTTGTTCCCTCGCAGGTGCGCTACCTTTAAAACGTTCGTCCGATGAAGGCAGATTTCAATTTATAATTCCAGGCCGACTGCTTATGAGCTTCTCCGCAGCTTCTGGGTGTACTGCTTGAAATTCGGAAGAGTTTCATGCGCGACTGCCTTCCAAAAGAAATGAGGCTAGTCCTTGTTGCTTAATAATTGTCTTCGGTTCCGAAAAGTACGAGGATATTTCCCCGTGAACACATGGCTTTCTCACATGGACGTAGTCACCGACAGCAAAGTTTTTGGTCCGAGCTCCACGATGACAGTCAGTGTATAGTTTTGAAGAAGCTTGTTTTTGTTGGACACGCTGACGCAGCCGTTTCATCGACTCTGCTGCATTTTCGTGAAATGAAGAATCCGGTAATCCAATAATGCTTAAGCGATTTTGTGGCAATCGTCCGTGCAGATGAATGGTGGGTGCCACTCTTGTTGTGGCATGAGGTGTGCAGTGGTAGACGCCCAAATAGTCCGCCACGGCGACACGGATATCATGCCACTCGTATACTGCCATTGAACTACAGACTTGAGGACTTTGTTGAACCTTTCTACAGGAACGTTTGCCTGCGGGTAATAGACAGAAGAAAAGCAATGACGTATCCCGCGTTTCAGAAGAAACTCCTCAAATTCTGTTGAGCTGAATTGTGGTCCGTCATCCGAAACTATTTCATTCGGGCAGCCACAGTGATCAAAACTTGTAACAAGAAGTTCTTGACCGTTGCCGTAGAAACTTGTCGTGAAAAAAAATTCTGGTCTTCGCTGGGATGATCAATAAGCGTCAACACATAACGGCTATTGATCGGAGCTTGCTCAAAGGGGCCAATATTATCAATGGCAATTTTCTCCCAAGGCTTGTCTGGGAAAGTTACTGGCTGCATAGGGGCTGCAGTAGGCCGTGCAGAGTTTTCACATGACTGGCAAACAAGACATGTTTATTCAGTTCTTCTACATGGTCACCCCTTCGAGGCAACCAGTACATCTCTCGCAGTCTACTTTTCGTACGATTGATCGGCGGATGCGATTGGTATGCGACTTCCATCAAACGACGAGTAAGATTACTTGGAACTACGATGCTTTTATCACGGCACAGGAAGTTGCGCACAATGGATAGTTTGGCAGGTACATGGAAATAGGTCTTTATCACTGTTTCCAGAGATTTTTTCAGGCCAAGATGACGAAACGAAGTCCATAACTTTTGTGATTATCTTAGATGCAGTCGCTGCTTTTAATTCTGCCACGGTTAACATTGGAGAAAGCAGGCAACCATATTGATTATCAGTGACGTCACCGGTTTCTCCGAATAACGGCAGTCTAGAGAGTGCATCAGCCACCACAATATCACTTCCCTTGCGGTACTCTACAGTGTAGTTGTAACACATCAGTCGGGCTGACCAATGTGAAATGCGCAATGGCCGATGTCCGACACCCTTAGTAGACAACAAGGTAACAAGTGCACTATGATCAGTTCACAGAACAAAGGGACAACCCCAAATGTACACGTGCCAATGTTCACCAGCCAAAACACATGCTAAGGCTTAGTGTTCACCTGCAGAATATTTCCATTCTTGTGGGCTCAAGGTCCGGGAGGCAAAGTCAACCGCCTGTGTAATTCCCTTGCTCTCTTCTTGTGATACATAGCCTAGCCCATATCTAGAGGCATTGGTCGTGACGATTATGGGAAGGTTTGGATCAAAGAAATGTAGAGCTTTGCAAATTTGTCAGCAGCGCTTTCAAAAGGACGAAACTCTCTTCGGCAGCTGACGTCCACGCAAATGGTCCGTTGCCTCGAAGCAATGCCTGTAGATGTTTCACAACATCCAAAAAGTGGGGAACGAACTTGGCGCAAAATCCCGCCTGGCCAAGCAGGGAACGAAGTTCATTTACGTTTGAAGGCGCTGAAGATGCTTTCATCGCTTGGATAGGTGACGCTAGCGGAAAGAGTCATTTGACATTCACAGCATGTCCCACAAACGTGAGTTGCGTGACGTCAAAAACGCACTTCTGATTTAGTTTCAGTGCCTGCTTTACAAAGACGCTGCAAAACGTGGCGAATAATTGCAAGATGGCCTTCTGGAAAACGGCCATAGACAATAATGTCATCTTTGTAAAAAAGTACCTTTGCACCTTTTCAGTACGAGATACATCATTTTCTGAAACGCCGATGGAGCTGAAGTCAAGCCGAAGCATACTCTGTTGAAGCGAAAAAGCCCGTCGTGCGTAATGAAAGTAGTCAGGTCACGACTTTCAGTATCTAGTTCAAGTTGATGGTAACCAGACGCCTAATCCCGCTTCGAGAATCGCTTGGCGCTAGCTAAGCTGTGCAACAGCTCATCTGTCTGCTGTGGTGGAAAGCTATCAACAATTATAGCTTTATTAGGCTCTCACAGATCAACACAAAATCATATTGAGCCATATATTTTCCGAACAATCACTATCAGAGAAACCCACCGAGAGGCATCAACGCGCTCGATTATGTCTTGAGCTTCACGTTTCTGCTTCTCAGACGACACCTGCACACGTAGGGTACACGGCAGCCGTCGTAATTTTCTGGCAACGGGTGGAATAGACTCACTAACCTTAACTTTGTGTTTGAATCTTTTGCTAAGTCTGAGCTGTTAGTCAGAGATGTTCATAGTCGGAACATAACTCCGTTGGCAATGTAGGAGTGCTGATGCAAGACACTGAAGTGATTTACCTTCAATGTTCATCTGTAGTGCCACAATGGTGTCAAGCCCAACACAGAGGTGCCTTCAGATACATTATACATAAGAATGCAAGCAGTTCTGTCTTGAAACGCAGCTGAAGCGACCAAACATCCTCGGACGAAGAAATGAATGTACATGTTGTGATAAGTGCAAAGCCAAATCAATGGGGTATCCTGTACAAGGCACCGCAAACTTTCGAGCTTGTTATTGTTGTAGGGCGGCTGATCACCTTGCAAACAATCCTGCATGTAAGAATCGCCGGTGCAGATATCGTCTCTGCGAGAAGATTGGCCACGTAGACGTAATATGTGGGTCGTCTGGATACTCTGCTAAAGTTCGAAAAGTTGATGACGATGACGACACTAGCCCTCAGTGCACCGGCAAAACAGTTTGTGTTGTAAAAGAACACAAGCATGACATTTACGCATCCATCACAGTCGAAGGCCACACTATCTTCATTCTAGTTGATACGGGATCTTCTATCACTATTCTGGCTGAAGAACTCTATCGTCGGTTTTTTGCGAGCACTTGTGCTCTGAAGTCAACCTCAGTGCAACTTCTCCACTACTCCAAGTCAAGGATGTCGATCCGAAAACGATAACAAGTTCGAAAGTTTGCGGTGCCTTGTACAGAATAGCCCATTGATTTGGCTGTTCACTTAGCACAACAAGTACATTCATTTCTTCGTTGCAAACAAGTGTTTGGAACACATGTTCGCAAACCCTGACGAAGACCGGTCCACCGGTCGAAACCCTTGGTAATAAAATTAAGACAACCACTAAGTTGTGTTTCTTATATATATATATATATATATATATATATATATATATATATATATATATATATATATATATATATATATATATATATATATATATATATATATATATATATATTACCGGCTGACTAGTGAGGTGGATTAGTCCCCCCACTCGCGAAAGAGTTGGTACGCCCTTGGTCATTGCTACCCTGTAGTCACCTGCTCAGCTGTGAGTGTGCCACGAACGTCATTTCTGTCCTTTGGTGAGACGCTTAGCCACGAGCGTGCCACCCACGTCACTGCTGCCCGGTAGTCCGACGCTCAGCGACGAGCACAGCACCCCCGTCATTCTGCCCTATGGTGAGACGCTCTGCCACGAGTGTGCCACCCACGTTACTGCTACCCTATGATCAGATGCTCAGCCACGAGCGTGCCACCCACACCAGTGCAGCCCTGTGTTCAGACGCTCAACCACGAGCCTGCAACCCACGTCATTACTGCCCAATGATAGGACATCTAGCCACGAGCGTGCCACTCACGTCATTGCTGCCCAGTAATCAGACGCTCAGCCACGAGAGGGCCACACGTCATTTTTGTCCTATGGTCAGACGCTTTGCCATGAGCTAGCCGTCCACGTCAATGCTGCCATATGGTTAGACGCTCAGCCAAGAATATGCCACCCTTGCCATTGCTGCCCTATACTCAGACGGTCAGCCACGAGGGTACCCCCACGTCGTTGCTACCCTGTAGTTAGAAGCTCAGTCACAAGCATGCCAACAACGTCAGCACTGCCTTGTGATCAGACGCTCAGCCACGAGTGTACCACCCACGTCATTGCTGCCATATTCAGACACAGCCACAAGCGTGCCATCCCCGTCATTGCTGACCTGTAGAGAGACGATCAGCCACAAGTGTGCTGCTGACGTCATTGCTGCCCTGTGGTCAGAACCTCAGCCTCGAGCAGGCCACCCACGTTACTTTTGTCCTATGGTCAGGTGCTCAGCCATGAGCATGCCATCCACGTCATTGCTGCCCTATTGTATAAGCCCAGCCTAGAGCCTGCCGCCCACGTCATTGCTGCCCGTGATTCCGTACTAAGAGCATGAGTGTATGTTCAGCGTTCTTCGTCGTCATACGTCATTATGGGGGCGCGGAGGTTGTTAAGTAGCTTATGTAAACAAGGAAGAGGGTAGTATCATCATCAAGATTAGTTCAGTGTTCGGAAAACAAAAAAGGTCAGCGGGTGGGCTTCGCCACGAGTACGGCGGCTCGTTCTTTCTTCAACACCACCCACGTCATTGCTACTCTGTAGTCAGACGCTCAGCCAAAAGCGTGTCACCGACGTCATTGCTGCCCTGTGGTCAGACACCCAGCCACAAGCGTGCCACCCACCGTCATTGCTGCCCTATGCTCAGACACTCAGCCACGAGTGTGCTACCCTGGTCATTGCTTCTCTGCAGTCAGACGCTCATCCACGAGCATGCCATCGACGTTTTTTGTCCCTATGGTCAGACACTAAGCCAAGAGCATGTCACCTACGTCATTTCTGCCTGTGGTGAGACACTCAGCCACGAGCGTGCCACCCACATCAATGCTGATCTATGTCAGACGCTCCACCACGAGTGTGCCACCGACGTCATTGCTGCCCTGTGGTCTCCCACTGAGCCACGACGGGCCACAAACAGCATTGCTGTCCTGCGTACAAATGCTGAGCCACGAGCGTGCCACCCGCGTCATTGCTGCCTGGTAGTCACAGGCACTGCCACGAGCGTGCCACCCACGTCATTGCTGCCCTACGGTACGACAAGCAGCCACGAGCGCACCATCGAGGTCACTGCTGCCCTGTGCTCAGACGCCCAGCCACAAGCGTGCCACCCACATCATTTCTGGCCTATGTACAGACACACATCCACTAGCGTGCCACCCAGGTCTTTGCTACCCTGCAGTCAGACGCACAGCCACGAGCGCGCCGCCCACGTCATTGCTGCACTATGGTCAGACACTCAGCCACGAGCGTGCCACCTGGTAAATATTTCATGCAAAAGAAGAAGAGCGCAGTATCATCGTCAAGATTAGTTCACTGTTCGTAAGAAGAGCCACGAGCGTGCTCGTGGCTCTTCTTACGAAATTCTTTTCATCAGCCTTCTTACCGAAAACAGCCGCCGATTGGAACCACCTTCCCTCTTCCGTTGTATCAATAACAGACCCTTTGTTATTCAAGACTGCACTTTCTCAGCAATGCTTGTAACTAGACGCAGTTTCCATTATCTATCTTTGTCTTGTATGTGCTTGAATTCTCATACATTTTTAGTTGACTTATGTTGCCTTCCTGATTTGCGCATCTGATACTTGTTTCTTTATTTTGTCTTTTTTTCTTGTGTGGTGTATATGTTGTACCCACCCCCTCTGTAATGCCCTACGGGCCCTGAGGGTATTCTAATAATAATAATAATAATAATAATAAGAGGTCATTGGGTGGACTTCGCCACGAACGTGGCGGCCCGTCCTTTCGTCAAAATTTTAATGCCGTGAAACCCGGGAGGAAGGCCCTGAGATGGAGCGGCCTTCACGAATTTCGACCACAGTCGCAGCCTCGAGGACTTTTGTGAAGCCACTGTGAGTAAAGCTGATGTGCTCGGCCTAACCACCGCTGAGACCTGGGAGCACGAAAACGGTTGCAACTGAGACTACTAGGAGCACTGATGGTATGACGTGAGTACAGGCATCGTATGAAGGTTCACGAGACGGGAGCCCTCACATCTATTTTGGCTCCATCCTGACTCGCCCTTGACGAAAACGACCCGATATTCACAAGTCAAGGCAGTCCCTAGGTCAACGACGCATATCTTGACAGTGCCGCGCCATGAGTGCAGACACCGATTGAAGACTCGAGAGATGGGAACCCTCACGCCTACATCGGCTCAGTACTGACTTGCCCTTCACAAAGATGGCTCAATATGCACAAGATCATCAAGAACGACAGCCCGACAAGTGACGAATATTTGTTAGGCGAACCTTCTGCAATGGATGCCGTTGTTGACCACGAATTTGCCTTGGGACAAGACCGGCCAGTGATCTTTCCCATTTCCGACACTGTACCGGATCATGGAGGCGCTTTGCCAAAGGTGGAGTCAGACACGTAAGGCCGTCACGCAGGTCATCGCAAATGTCGAATACCTTTGACATATGGACCACCCATCAATATGTGAGTTGAAGAAGTTTCACCGAATTTCACTGAACAGTACAACAGAGAGAGAGAGAGAGAGAAATAAAAGGAAGAGACAGGGAGGTTAACCTAGAAGGACTGGTTTGCTACCCTGTACGGGGATGGAAAAAAAGGGTCAGAACGATGATAGGGGATAGAGAGATATAAAATAAATGAGAAAAAAACACATGCGCACACATTCAGAGAGTTCTGATCACAGTCGTTTGAACAGGCCGGTTGAACGCAAGCAGCAGAGGAGCGCCTTCACAGCCTTCTGCGACCTAAAGTCCTGTCGGTAGCAAAGGATTCTTTCTTCCGAAAGAGTCTCGTTGTCCAGTTCGTCTAGTGCATTGCATAGTGACTGTCGCTGCGACCAGTATTGTGGGCATTCACACAGAATATGCCAAGTTATTTCGTCACTGCCGCAATGGTTTCATGCAGCAGTGTCAGCCATTCCTATGCGGAACGCGTACGCATTGGCAAATGCGACGCCCAACCATAATCTGCACAGCATAGATTCCGGAAAAATTCGATGACTGAGATTCGGGTCTGAGGTGTATAATCGTGCATGTGTGAAATATGACTCTTTTTATGTCGACGTGGTGCGCTTGCGTGCAAGCATGCGGAGTATCCGTGCAGCGTCAGTTCTGGAGAGCGGCATATATATTTGATCGCTTTCAGTATGGACAAAACTGGCAGCTCGATCGGCCCGTTCATTGCCAATTATTCCACAATAACTCGGAAACCATTAAAAGGCTATTTCATGTCCTTTCTCAATGAAATGGTGAGTCTTTTCTGCAATCTCGAATACCAGCTGTTTGTACGGGCCGTGTCGTAAAGGTGGCAGAGGGATTACAGTGCTGCCTTTGAGTCACTGAAAATTGACCATTATTGCGGCTGTTGATCGCTGATGAATTGCAATGAGGTACGAAGAGCTGTGAGCTCTGCTTCCGTTCATGTTGTAAGGTGAGAGGTCTTCAATTTTCTTGTTGTGTCTTTTATTAGTATAACATATTGCCACCATTGATGAACGAGCTGCTGTGGCTCATACTCGTTTTGGGCTGCGAAGAAAAAGAGAACATTATCGCGGCTCTAGTTCAGGTAAACTCCTGGCTGTAAGTCTTGTTTTGCTCGTGACATTACTGGTGGAGGCGCTGGTTACGTGTACGTCGGCTGTGTCGCCCATCTTGGAGACGGCTACATCTCCCAGAGCAAAGAGCAGCAGCTGCCTGCGTGGGTTACCCCTGAATTTGGTGCCTTGGTATCGACACCCAGAGAGATGGCAACTCCGATGACAAGCCAGGCGGTCCAAACCAGCAATGCCCATGGTTCTCTTCTCGCGCATGTTTTTTAGGCGCCACAGACACCAAAACCGTTCCATGGAGACATCTTCGAGGATGTTGATGACTGGCTCGACCACTTTGATCGGGTTGCCAGTATCAACAAATGGGACGATGTTCGCAAGCTGCGCCGAGTTTACTTCTACTTAAAGGATTCTGTGAAGACGTGGTACGAAAACTACGAGGGCTCCTTTGCAAAGTGGCAAGAGTTTAGCCGACAGCTCCGTGACGCCTATCGCAACAGCGACAGGAAAGAGAGGGCTGAACAAGCCATATCCTGCAGAAACCAACGTCCGAACGAACGAGTATTCATGTTTGTTGAGGACTTGCTTCGGCTCTTCAAGCGCGCGGATCCTGCCATGCCCGAGGAAAAGAAGGTGCGGCATTTGATGCGCGCAGTAAAAGAACAGCTTTTCGCTGGGCTCGTGCGCAATCCACCGACGACAGTCGCCCAGTTCATCAGTGAGGCAACCACGATAGAACGTACGCTGGAGCAGCGGTCGTCACAATACGAACGCCAGATCCCGGCCACCGCATGCTCTATCGGCTCTGACAGAGAGAGACAGGCCCTCGCAGACTTCATTCGAAGTATCGATCGGGACGAATTGCGACAGCTTCAGGCAGTGAAATCCCATCCACCTGTGTCTGCCCTCGCGGATGTAATCAGACAAGAAGTCCGGCAGGCCGTCACACCCCTGGCCCTGATCACACCACCGATTCCCGAGGCCTCAGTCCTGACATACGCAGCGGCATTGCGATTCCCTGCGCCACCGGCTACAGATCCTGTTATGCGGCCAAGGTACCAGGCTATAGCCATTCCACGACACTGCTTCGAGCCCGCCTCTCGGCTGAAGGTTTCCGAGCACACCCATTTATCTGCCGTCTGCAAGACAAAGTGGCAGCAAGGCAAGCACGTTGCGCACTTCGGATAACCGTCCACTCTGCTATCACTGCAGCGAAGCGGGTCACGTATACCGGCATTGTCGATCCCGGCAACTAGGTCTCCGCGGCTTCCACCCTGATGCTCGATGCCCGCGCTACGGTGAGCGCCCTGGTGAAATCGAAGCCTATCTCACGGGCCAGCTAACACCTTAGACTGTTCAGCAGCACAAGTCGAGATGATAATGATGATGATGATGATATATGGGGTTTTTTGGTGCAAGGGCCATTTGATAGCCAAAGAGCGCCAGTTCATGGGACAAGGAATGTGGAGATTGATTGTAATTAGCGGCTGTATAAGGGCCATAAAATTCCTCGCGGTAAGGCGGGTAAAAACATGCAAGTAATAAAATAATGACCATGCCGTGAAAGGTGTGTGTGGTGCGAATAGATGACAAAAGTTGGTGATAATAAAAACGATGATGGACATGTATGGCATTAGCACAAGTGCCTCACTCGTTCATACCGTTGCGTCCAAGGGCCGTGAGGCAAGTGCTTTGTTGTGTAGCCACCGCAGCGAAAACCTCTCTGACGAGGTCGTGCTACGGAATGTCTGGGTATATCATATTAAAACTATGAATTACTTTTAAAAACGCTAACAATGATTTATGACTAAAAAGCGGTTCCCTACCGACGAACATTGCAGGGTGTAAAGGTATATGTTGTCGGTAGGGTAATGGAAAGTGTTGTTTTCTTAGAGTGTCCAATTGTTTGCACTGAATTAAAATGTGAAGAACTGTTACTGCTTCACCACATCTGTCACACAATGGTGGATCGCAACCAGACAAAAGATATGAGTGAGTCGTGTATGTGTGTCCTATCCTGAGCCGCGTTAATGTTACCTCTGTATGTCGTGATTTTGATACTGGTGGCCAATGGCCAAGGTGTGGCTTGATAACGCGTAGTTTGTTTTGTATGTGTCTATTCCACTTGCTCTGCCAGTAGTCCCTGAGCTTTCGTTTGATAGACGGCTTAAGATCAAGGGCCGGGATTGATATGGGTGTAGTGGCAGTGCTTTCGTGGACGGATGCAGCAAGCTGATCCGCCATCACGTTGCCTTGAATCTCACGGTGCCTTGGCACCCAGCACACTACAACATGTTGGTTGAGTGTGTAGAGTGTGCACAAAATGGAGTAAAGTGAGACGAGGACAGGGTTTTTTTGTTCTTTAAGACTGTGCAGAGCCGTTACCACACTGAGGGAGTCTGTATAAATTACTGCTTTTTGTATTTGTAATTGTTTGATGTGTTTAGCTGCCACAAGTATCGCGTAAGCTTCCGCTGTGAAGATACTTGTGCCTGGATGTAGAGCGCCA